GTGAGTGTGAAACTGAGTCCTGCAGTTAGACTTAGTAAGGGTTGAGCCCCTTATGTGTAAAACTCACTTCATTCGTGATATTTGGATGTGAATGATCGAATTACAGGTTACTTCCGCATGCTGCGTGGAAGCAACCACTGTGGAATTGAAGAAAACGTCGTAGCCGGAAATGTCTGATTGTGGTTATTGCTACGTAGTTGAATAAAATATATGATGGAGTTTTAAAAACTTATCCTAATGCTAGAAAGGTTCGGAGACACAGCACTCCCAATGTATCAGATGAATAAAAAGATTTCATGGGAACTCCACACAAGAAATCATTGTGAAAAGGCAGAGATTCCACGCACACGCATTCTACCAGTCATTGTGAACAAGTATGAACCCCTTCCGCTATAAAACTGAAACTGCAGGCACGATTTGAAAAGGTTGAAGGCACAGATAACGATGAAAATGTTTTCTGAGATCTTCCCATAGGCTGAATGCGAGGTCCCCTCGTATACCACATCTGGAGCTATTGGGTCGGAAAATGGCTAGGTAGGGCGTTATAAAGGCTCAAAGATTCCAAGACAGTGTTAAATTGATATCCGAAGTTCGTATTTTTCGACTAGATAAACCTGTATTCGGAGAGAGTGTGGTTTCTTGCCTCAGGGAAGCACTCTAACAAAGTGGTGGGAAACCATACCCTAGGAAAGCGAATGGTTAGAATGCCCTACGAAATGCACTTGGAGGATTGCGGAAATCTTGAACTGAGCCATTAGTTAGATGCGGGAATTAAATATCACCACGCTGCTCCCAACTCGTAAGTAAGTGTGTTACAAGTAAACAAATGAAAAGGTCAATGAGACAGTGAAGCGTTTAGAAAAAAATAGCCTCGGACGAATAAAATTCGCATAACATATAGTTGATATTGTGATACTAGTCCTTAAACACCGTTTGGCTTTAGAAGATTTTGAATACTGTCTCTTTCCATTCATGTTGGTGAACTTTAAGCACAGCTTCTGGGCTTCTTAGAGGTATGTCGCAGAACAATGTTTTGACAACCCAAAAAAGGGTCAAGGTAGGTTCCTCCAATCGTAGTGATACTGTTGACGTTGATATGACGATACTCCACTTGAATTCCAGAATGCTTCGATCTGAATGGAAAAATGTGCCGAAAGTACTCTAAAGCAAAGTTACGCCACTACTGTAAAGCCATTGATTTCAAGGAAATTTGCTGTCATTCGTGTGAAAAATTGAAGGTTCTCTGAATGTTCTAAATTGATTTCTCAACAAATTTTATTGACTTCAATTGAGTCCTACATGAACCCGTTGATGTCATCCATAATGAATGTGAAAATCAAGCCTGCCTCATTAATCGAAAATCAAGAAATACTACTACGTTCAGCTTATTTTTCTTTTTTTCTTTCCCTTTTTTTAATTCTTAAACTCGATTCAACAAGCTCCACCCTTTCGTCTTTCTTTATCCGAAGGTCTTGAGAGGGGTATTCTGACATTGTCGAACAAGGTTGCGGTGCTGGTAGGTTCACTGCACTGCACCAACATCCTGACCCTTTGGTCGATCTCAGTAGACAAATGATCGAATTTCTCATAATTTCTAACAAAGTGCCAACAATATTCTCCTCGTTATTGACATCTTTATTGTCGGGGAAAATGAAATATTGGGTAGTGAACATTCAAACATCCTATTTGACGTCTCCTAAGGAAGAGAGGATATGTAGCTCCACAGAGGCCTAGAGGACCATTAAAATCTGGAAAGGCAACAAAAAGTAGGTTCCCAATCAACAAAGGACTTTCAAAAGGCAAGCTTTCCGATCCAAATCAAAGACTACCTGTTTGCATATGTGAAGCAGCTGTTAGGTCATTATGAATAGTGAGAGGCGGCCGACTTTGCCCCATTTGTTTCCAATCAATACGACCCCACTTGTGACCCGAAATCCTCCACTATTCGGTTCATCTTCAAGTAATTCGCTGGTATCACAGATGCATATCTATCTTATTATTCTTGGAATACTCCTTGCAATAGTAAACGCTGAACTTCCATGGTATTATGGACGACCTTATCCTGGAGCGTCTACACAGTTCGTTTTTTTTTTAAATTTTTTTCGAGGTCCATTTTTCTTTGGAAAAAACTTCGAGAGTTCTGTATCGCGTTTGGAAAAGACCATACCATTTTCTCTCGAAATAGTTTGAATAAAAGAAATATTAAAAATTCTGATAATATTGCGATTTCTAACCAGGAAGCCCACTATATTTCTCAGACCATCAACGGTAGTACTATTACTTGAGGGATGGTAACTGTTATAACTTACCTGTTATTCCTCTGCTGCTACCACTGAACCCATCGGTTGTTAGATTTCCAACAGTTTTTGTAGCGGTCGTTCTGTGGCTATCCATGTATTGCTTGATAAATCCTCCCAAGACCTGCTCCCATTACTCGGGTATAACTCTAGCAGACGTCAGTGGCACCTTCGCCCTAGTGCTCCTCAACCTTCATCTGTCGGACAGATGAAGGGTGTGGGAGATTTGCAACTACGTTTGAATTCTCTTAATCCCTGCGCTGGAGTTTGATTAAGGCAATTAAACCGGTAACAACCTAAGGTATGGTCACACTAAGATTTCCAGTCATGGGTGTGGAGAAGTGGCGTGGTCAGAGAGTGAATAGCAGACCATGACTTTTCTAGGTATGCAACATCTTTACCGATCACCTCCCACCTGCAACCGACATTTCCTCCCTTTACTCCTTTCCCACTGGCTTTTCACAATATGCCATAGGCTAACGCGAATGAGAATAAAATTGAAAGTAGACAACTTTGGCAAGACAGTACTGCATAGTTGTTCCAGCAGGCCTGAAACGAAGGGCTTCATCACCGTCGTTGACATGAAGCGCCTACAAGGTAGTCCAAAGTTTGGCGACAGGTGAAGGACGACTATGGCCCTACAAAAATGTTGCATAAGCGCGTGTGCCATTACGGTCTATCGAATTGATATTTTTTACTAACAAGCACCAGATTTCTGTGTTTTGTTAAATTGATTATCATAAAAATTGCAGTAGTAGGCACTATAAGTAGAGGAAGAACCCACAAGGTCATCGCCATATAAGCAAGCTATGGAGGTTTTTCAGAGGAGGAGTATGGCCGTTGCCATGGTCCATCCAATACGACACATTCAACCATACTATAAACCCCAGACAATTTCAATTTGTTTCCAAGGTGAGTGTAAAAGCTATTAATTCGAGAAAGGTTGATTTCAACCATACTATAAACCCCAGACAATTTCAATTTGTTTCCAAGGTGAGTGTAAAAGCTATTAATTCGAGAAAGGTTGATAGAATGACTATAAAGACGCCTTGTTGCCTCTCCCTTCCCTAAAGAAAAGGTGGGAAGTGTGCGGTAGGGCCGGGAGTACCAACCACAAGGTGTTGTTTGGGAACTATAGCTAACGTTCATATGGAACACGGCCTAAGTCGAACACATCACTCTCAAGAGGAGAGTACAAGACGTGCAAAGCTACCAGAGATAGATATGAAATCTGAAAATGGCGTAATGAGTTATTATGGGGTCGTGATAGGGTAGAGCCAGTGATGTCGTCCCCACAGTTTGTCTTCAAGTCCTCTTTCTCCTCTTCAAAATTACTCAAGCAGCTTGCTTTTAGAAGAATCTGTCTGGAAGATATTGAGTCATGCCGTGGTCATTCAATATAAACTGTTCAGGTCGGCTCCTGCGATGTGATCGACAAAGCCATAAGACGGTACCAGAAGCTGACATTCCCTCTGTATAACCCAGTGAGTCCTTTCCTTTTCTCGATGTTTCCTAATGATCAAAGCTAGTCAAGGTCGTTCTACTGAAGACTGCAAAGGTTTTCTCTGAATCCTCTGATAAGCCATAGTTTTATGGCACTTACATAGCCTGCCCGAAATGAGTTCTAGTGTAAGCCTTCCCTTTTTGAAAACTCCCTATATGGGAGTAGATCTACGCCATGCAACAGAATAGTAATCGAAGCCCAGGTTCCATTTTGGATTCTTGGTGGTTTATGTTCTTGCGACCTCATGCGCCTACATAGATAGATAATGACTGAGAAGTTCACACGGATCGTGTAGAAAACAACCCAGCCCAAGTCCTGGCTCAATTGCCCGTTCATTTAAACTAACTCCCTCACCCAACTTGACCCCCTATCCTTTTTTCTCATTGCCGTATATGTAACGAGTCTTCCCCGAATACTCGAGGTTCCCACTGAACTGTAAGAACACTGGCCCGTCTTTCAAATTTTTTATTAAACGATAAGGTGTAAAAAAATGTTTTCGGTTGAATTGTTATTTTGTTTTCAAGTTGTGAAAATTTCAGAAGAAATACTCAGATTATCCTGCATCACTTAGTTCTTTGACGATTGACGTCAAATCAGGTTGTGATACACAAGTTCCACAACTGAACATGGATGAATCATGTACGTCATTATACTCATGTTGTCTCCTTTTCTTTCAGCTTTCTATTTTTGCTGCATACAATATATAAAACTTCTGGTGGCCAATATAAGAGCCCCTTGCTCAGAATACAAATTCTTTGAAAACTGGTTTGCTAAAAATTGCCTGAACTGGGATTGGGTCAAAGTTTAGTGTAAGGTCCTGATGGATATATCTCTTCTGAGGCTGTCACTAATGAAGAGGAGGGACTCAGAAGTAGGAGGACTCGGTGTTGCTCGCCTTCTATACAAACTGTGCCTACTACCTTTCACGGTTTGCTCTCATTGGAATATCTTTATATTATGAAGACCGTATTCTGTCTGTTGATTTGTCCATTCCTCAGCAATCCGAATGCCTAGACCAAACAAGCCCTTTTTTCCTCTATGGTAAATGGTACCGGAACCGTGTGGGAGGTAGAGGGTTTGCCATATTCGCTGCCATATTCGCAGCTCTTTAGAAAGAAACTAGTTCGTCCCCTTTCGATGGGGTTGGGCTTAGCTCTACCTAGGAGTTCTGTGCTTCAAATAACTAGCGAAAAACATCGATGCCAACCTTTCAAAGAGATAAAACGAGGTCTAATTTTCCAGATAGTCTCAAAGTTGATAAAAATGAGGAAGTTGCCGTGCTCACAGCCAATCAAGTGTGGGGCGCACTAAGAGGATTAGAGACCTTCAGTCAACTTGTCTTTCAACCAGTAAGGAATAAAGTGAGTGAGTTTTTATCGTTTCTGATTCCTATACAACAACTATTGAATATATTCGGAATCCAGTTAATCAAAGTTTAGTTCCGGGCTAGTAATGAGAAAAAAAGGGAAATAACCGTCATTACGAGTGTGTCCAGGCTCTCAGAGTACTAATTTCATCTAGGAGTTGGGAGCAAATTCAGTTCTAACGTCCGAAAACGTGGCTTTCTTGGTTAGACGACTTATTCGTCTTCACCTCTGATTCCTTTATAATTGTAAACTGCCTGTTCAAACTTGGTACCTTTCCGAGATCAACTTCTACGTGACTCTTATATTTGTTCCAATTTACAGTACCTGATTCGCACGGCATCCGTCGAGGACCAACCACGATTCCCTCACAGAGGAACACTGATCGACACTGGACGCCATTTCCTATCACTTTCAATAATTTTGCAACACTTGGTATGTGTTTCTATAATAATGAACTTTTCTTTTTAGACGCTTTAAAATAGAGAAGGAGGCTTAGTTATAGACTTAAAAATGGGCAAATACCGATAACGATAATCCTTTTTTTTATGATTAATCAGTATGAGGGGATGGATTACTCCATGTCTCATTTTGAAGTCTCTAAAAAGAAAAAATTATATTCTTCCAGGATGTAATGAGTCAAAATAAAATGAACGTACTCCATTGGCATATCGTTGACAGCGAATCGTTTCCCTATACGTCGGCAAAATTCCCCAATATGTCACTGCTCGTGAGTTTTTCTTAATACCCATTTGGTAATAGAACTAAATAGAACAAATGGATTACCATGAACGCAGCTCCTGCTTCCCGAGGGGATAGAAACTATTCGAGAAATTACACGTGGAGAGAATCCAAAAATCCAATTCTTAAAAAAATGATAAAGCAGTTTTCAGGGTGCCTACACTCCAGCTCACATTTATTCTATCGCTGATATGAGGAAAGTCATAGACTATGCACGGCTTCGTGGTATTCGAGTTGTTCCCGAATTCGATACACCTGGTGAGCTGCTCTAACCATGAATTCACCCAACATACACTTGTTTTGCTCCTTCTCCTCGAGTTTGTAGGCATGAAAAGCAAATTGCCAGCCTGATGACCTTAAGAGCTTCTTAGGTGCAAAAGTAGTGAAGAAATGGTGCCTGAGTGGAGTGAGCCTCTCATACTTCTGCAGTGCATGTATACCTTCCAAAAGTTACTCTAACGAAGGCTGCAGCCGAATGCACGGCGAAGGCGGTTTGAACCATCTCATCCCCTTATTTTTCAACACTCATGAAGGTGTTTCTGGCGCATGTAAGTAGTTAACCTTACCCGAAGAAATTTATGAAGATATCAATAGAGAAGTTATACTTAATTTTTGCAAAAAATCATTAATTCTGCGAAAAATTCCAAAAGTGCATGAAATGTTGGCTAATTTGTTAAATATTTTTGGAAGTTGAGGGGCGAAGATGGTGGGTTGGCAAATGAAGCACTATCGTTGTGGTCAGCCGTTTGAATCTGGCGTCGATCCTCGTCCTGGCCGACCACGCCATCTATTCCTCCGGGGTAATGTGATTGCACCCAGTCTCGTCTGGGAGGATAAAGGCACTGGCTTGTGAGTTGTACACTGGCTGGCCACAGTAAGTCATCGTATAAGCCACATACGCATCAGAAACGACCACGATTCCGAATGGAAGTCGAATGAATTGAATTCGGGTTAATTGAAAGCTGCTAAATCTGTGGAGCATTAGTGTCTGATTTCTAGGACATTCTGGATCTTGGGGTCAGTCCATTCCGAATTTGCTGTCTCAGTGTTACGACAGTAAGGGAAAGATCAACCAACTCCCAAATATCATGGATCCAACGGTTCCGGCAAACTTCAATTTCCTTTCGGAATTTTTCGAGGTAAACTTTTTTTCTCATTTATAACTGTATTGAACTCATTGTTACATTAAATCTGTTCACCTAGAATGATTCACTCAAAAGCTTTGGAGACTGGGCTACATAAGGGATTGGATCAAGCTCACTTGTGGTATTTTAGGAAGCCTTGACTCTGTTCGGTGACAAGTTTATTCATTTTGGAGGAGATGAAGTAGAAAGCGATATGCAACAGTGCTGGTGTGTTCCTATTCTTTCTACTAGATGACCATGACCGCTAATCACGCCTACTCGTCCCAAAAGAGCTGTTCCCAGAGTCCCATTCCCTTCTGGGTGACCTTCCGATTTCTCCTCAAAACAGCTAGGCCGCTCTCTCATCCAATGCTGTGATCCCCAAAAGGCTTTAAAGGTGCTCGAATTTTCATCAATTTTTCCGATTTTCCGAACACTAGGTGCAGTACCAAATCTCAAGCAAGGCTGGTTGCAAGCTTTTGAGCCACGTCCCTTTCCATGTGGCCGGATCGCGGACTCGAGTAATAATGAGCAGTTTGCAAAAGAATCAGGATTTAGATCGTTTACTTATTTGTTTACGTTTATATTTTACTCAGGATAGAACCTATGACCTGTAATCGGTAGAGTACCCAGAACTCTAGATAAATGGGATAATGGTCCCTGTGGCCCTCTAACCAGTCTTACCAGGTGCTCGCNCTCGCCCGGTCTCGTTCCAGAGGCATTGGAGTAAAACAACGCTAACCAAGACATTCTGGGCGACCCCAGGTTCCAGTGAGTGGAGCTCTAACCAATAAGCCACTCTTCACTACTCCTTCTCAGAAGGTTCCACGGTTCGACGAAAAATCGAAGATCTCTTAAATTCAGGCATATTAAAGATCCCATCGCAAGAAAGGTCTGTCTACTTGGCAGAAAATTGTTATCTTCACATCTCAAAGCCCCCTCTGGCGGAACTGTGAAGATTTTGAGTTTACGAATCCAAATTTCAGGGCGAACAATCCCGAAGTTGCCAAGCGAATGGAAGCAATGGGATACAATAGCACCCACGATTTACTCAACTACTATTGGAAGAAGTGAGTTATCAAAGGCAACTTTTTAAAATCCTTCCGCTATTGGGTAGTGTTCTTCTTCGACGTATCCCTTCTTAATTCGTATATTTCCTGTGTTTCTGCATATTTCGAGCCTTGCTGACCCTGGAAGTAAGGAGGTATGTTATAGATGCTTAGAAGGAGGGAATGGTGTGGAGACTAGTAAAAGTTAAGCCAAATACGACATGAAAAGTCATAAAAAAAGTAAAGTCATAAAAAATACGTAATGAAAAAATAAAGGCAGCTTGGCAATTAGAATTAGAATTAAATAGGTTCCGGTGTGAATCTTTGCTACTTGTTTTCTGATGTTTTGTTTTATTTATGGGAAAGCCCAGTTATGATGCTTGTTCCTCTCCATTAACTGCCTGTTTCCAAAGAGCTCCTACTGGGAATTACAGGAGTTTGATCATCGTACAGAAGTCTCAGTCACATGATCAACTTCTGGCGAGTAAAGTGTACTTACTCAAAAAAGAACGCACACAACATTACATTCATTAATACCATTATCGCTGATTCTTTTCAATAGTTTAATTTGAGGCTGTTCGGAGTCATTGATAAAGTGCATCCAGGAACACAGAAGATTGTCTGGCAGGAAGTCCTCGATATGAACGTTACGGTGAGTCGTTACATAAGAGCTTTTGATTTTGGCTTCGATCTCCTGGTCATGCTAGGGATATTGCAGCACTTTTCACTACTTAGCTACCCTTTACTAAGGGTGGAGAGCTATGCTATCGTATTATATCAACGATTTTAGCTTGAATTTATATGTATTGTATTGAACTGTGCTAAGCTGGTTGGTTTAGGTGTCGGATGCCATCGCTCATGTCTGGAAAGGAAACAGTGTGGAAGCCATCAGAGAAGAAATGGCTAATGTAACTGCTGCTGGGCATTTTGCAATACTGTCTAGTTGCTGGTTAGTATACTTTAGATCGTCATTCCTAGAGTAAATTCTTCTCATAAACCTTACCTAACACGCAGAAAAAAATGTGAGTGACCAGGGTGTGAGACGTTATTTCTGATTCGCACATATCGCGCGGCAAATACTTGCTAGTTGCCTCGGGGCGCGAAATTTGTGTTTGGAAACAGCGCTTGCTATCCTTTCATACTCGCCTATACAATGCTTCCCACGATCCCAATTGAATCAGCTAATCTCGTCACCGCATGGGGGCATACGGGGAAAAGCAGGAGTTCACATTATTTTATCTAACTTTTTTGTTTTAATTATTTGGCAAAACAGCCAGCTACTATACAATTTCAGGTATCTTGATATCATCAAGTGGAACCCCGATTGGGGACAGTACTATGAATGTGATCCAACAGACTTCAAAGGGTCCGATAAGCAAAAGGTAGATCCAGTCTAATGAATAGACAGCACGAGGAAGTATCCCTCGGATTGATTTGATTCCGGATCATGCTGTACCATAGCGAAGCACGTCCTCTTACTACTTTACTCTCTCAAGTACTGTAGTGGATACAGTCACTCCAATGGTTGTAAAACCAACCTGCGTAGTGCGTCAACATAGTTTTACAGAATTACATCCAAAATTATTAAATTATGCATTTTTGAAGCCGTGAAGGTGGTCAATTAAGTTAGAACCCATTTCAGGCTCGAGTTCTGGGAGGAGAGGCAGCTTTGTGGGGAGAATACGTGGATGGAACAAATTTCATGGCTCGCATGTGGTAAGAACTACACTCCATCGTTATTGTTGCTACAATATGAGCTATTTAAGGCCCCGTGCTTCTGCTGTGGCAGAACGATTGTGGTCAAATCCGGAGCAAACGAAGTCGCATGGCGCATCCTGGCCGCGTCTACACGAATTCAGATGCAGAATGATGAATCGAGGGTTTGCTGCACAACCGCCCAATGCTCCCGATTATTGTCCATTTGAATGGAATCCTATTTATGAAGAATTATAAACGTGTTTTTCGGGTTTTCAGTTTTACATTTCAAGTTTTGGGCAAACGAAAAGTGACCCTCTTGGGAATTATTTGTTACTGTTTTGGGTAACAGTTAAAGAGTGATGTGACGATTTGGGGCGATCCGAGCAAACGGGGTCAACGAGGCTCTCGTGTTATTGTTTTTCATTTGTCTTTCACTCAAGATGACTTTTTAACTCTAATTCTACATTTTAAACTATTTTCTTAATTAACAGCCTTCTTGGGGGGCATATACCAAATTGGTTATTCAACGTCTAGATTACGCCGTGAACAAGAAGATATTGAGAAATCTGAGTAAGAGAAGACAAAGACATATAGCTGCTCATGCTTATGGCCTGAATAAATGTATTGCAAGAGAGAGTTCTACAGAAGTCCAACGTGGCTACTGAACCAACCAACAGACTACTTCGTATCGGTGTGGAGCAAAATGCAGCTCAACTATTTTCTCATTTCTCTACTGAACTGTTGGGCATATTCATTCTTTCCGAATATAACTTAAATTGGAAAACAAGATAAAATGATCATAGATCACCTTAGACTTTGTCCACCATTATTGAAAACAATTGTGTTTTACTGTCGTTATTTATACAATGACATTTGAACATTTTCAAAAGCAATCAGTTTTTTTACTATGCGAACTATTCGTCTCATGATGATCTCGGTTGCAAGTGGAGCACAACCACCCACTCCCGATTCGGAGGTCGATACTCGCTTAAAACATGCACTCCCTCCCTCCGTGGACGGTGAGTGGTCACAGGCTCTTGTGGAAAGATGAAAGCACTAGCTTGTAGGCTGACCACTGCCCAGTCACTGTTTAGGCCATATGCGCATTCAATCTGCTACTACATTACTGAATGGAAGTCGAGGGAAGGCGCACACAAAGAAGGATTGATTGGCGGCAGAACTTCATCCTTTATCCTATTACGCCTGGTGCTCATAACTAGTGAACCCACAAAAACCGAAGGAATCGAAATGAAAAGGCCGGGAATCGTTATTGAAGTCGTTAACCTACATATAAGTAATTCATGCGAACCGAAAGACGACAAAGCTGTCTTTCCAAAACAAGGGTCATGGACAATGGAAGAGCACGACCGCATCTTCGACGCTCAATGTGCCCCAGATCCTTTAAAACTACGCTATACTTGTTTTCAGCCGGAATTCTTCGAATGCATCTAACCGATTCTGCCTTAGTTCCCGTATTTCATGTGCGGACCTACGTTTGATATAGTAGCTTACTATTTCAAAATACTGCTCAGGAAGTCTGAAATAAAGCAGGATGCTGAGATAGAATGAATCGGCCTTTATAAAGAAATAGCAGCTTTTGGTGAAGCCTAGTTCGGAGTAAATCCAATGGGAGTTTCTCCAGAATTTAGGGTTTCTTCATATTGCCTTCTCAAGTTATCTTCTTTCAATAATCAATGATCTCACCCTGGAACCCACAGAGTAAACAGAGCAGCTATTAGCACAATTTCATCCCTTTGGTGTATCAAATAAATGAATAAATTTAGTGCTTTCTCCTATCGTTGTCATTTTTTAATCACTTACCAGTTTTTGCAACCATGTACTACTTTCACAACATTAACTTACCATGTTCTATCGTGCACTTCATTAAGGTCCGAAAAATGGGTAAACTTGATTTTTTTTTATCTTTTTTCTTTGTATGGTGCGAGAACAAATGAAATAAACAAGTCACCAAGTGGGTAAACATATCAGTGACGCGGGTCACCAGAAAAGCACTCATCTTCCAAATCACCTATACGTGTTTGCTCAGTTCATCCTTCTTTGATCAACTCTAAAAGCTACTTGATCACGAGTTTTTGCGGATTTTCATGAATCGAGGTCTATAAGATTCTGTTCATTCAACGAAACCTACGCTGAATCAATTTTGACGTTACATTTTATAAGTTTTTCGGATCTTCGGCTCTTCATTTGGGAAAACCTTGTCTTCTTGAAAGTTGATGAAACAGTAAGGGTCCTGTACTAGGCATTATATCTAGTGATAATGGAAGTAGACCCCCTATTTTCTATTTACTCTGGCTGCTGGATCTGAATGAACGGTAACGAATTACAGCTACTTTTCTCCCTTGCAGGTCTACGTTGCTCCGTTCCCACTACTTTGTTACTTTTATAAAACCGCTATTTTTTCAGCGAATTTGCCCAGAAAAAGCCGTTTTTGGAAAATAAAAACTCTGAGTTTGTAGAATCATTTCGGTGGTAGTTAGTGATTCTTAAATGTGTGCGTCTTAACCTCATTAATAGTTCATGTTGAAACCTTTGATTGAGCAAGATGTTAAAGATGTTCCCTGCAGAAGCTTCGAAAAAGAAGATGATCGGCGGAGACTGCTGCCTGAGAGACCCCTGCGTTTACCTTCTTATTAACTAACTCATTTCACTTGAGGACCACAGTAATACATTGCCTGGTCCTTTCGGACTTAGAAACCATATCGACTTTACCCTTGTTCCACAAAGGATAAGTTGATATGGTACCGAATTGGTATCATGTTGCACAAGGTTGGCGAGTTTCTGGCAAAATTTTGGTCTTGGACGAAACTTGAACTCGTACCTGTGCTTTTCTTTGATTATGTCTTAAAGGATATATCCTTTATTTCTAATCATAGGTGACCGGGCTAATGTGAAAGGTTTACTGCGCTCGTATGCATACACGGTGATACGATCGCTATGAAAGGTGCACGGAGAATGGATCTTCATGAAAAACTTGTTTACTTACTTTTTTGTCTTTCTCATCCATTGTCACAGTGGCTACACTCATATGACTATTCTGCAGTCCTCAAGTTTACTCAAATCACATTATTGTCCTTCCCTAATCTTTATTTCTACTTTCTTCCCTACTATTTTGTTTACTAGTGACACCTTTGACGAGAAGAACGTTCCATAGATAACATGAAGGGATCAATGAAGAGATAGGATAAATTTAGCTACACTGGCTTCATATTATAACACTTTTGTCACTAACTGTCATTCATCATATTTAAGGACTAATAATAAAGTCGTTCGGCCTAACCCAATCCCGCTTGAGGGATGCTTCCCGCATACGATTTCCATTAAGAATAGTAGTGACGGTTCAGATACGTATGGCATCATCATGCTCGACTTGCGGTAGCCAGCCAATGTACAAGTCAGCGCTTTTACCCTCCCTGTCGAATGCGATTCCAAATAGCCGACCCCGAGGGACAGTTCAGTACCAACTTCTGCATCGGCTGATCACCACATGTCATTGTATAGGCCACAGACGCCTTCAAATCGTCACCACGTCTTTGAATGGATTTCGAATGCGTGGCGCATCCTCAAACGCAATCGATCTAGACCAAGACTTTATCGCTTATCCCGGAGCATTAATACTGTTCAGTGTCTCTTCTGTTCTGTCATGCCGGCAAAGCATTTTTTCATGGAATTGTTCTATTGTACGATGTTCTGAGAAAAACATCGTTTAGAGTCAGTTCGATCAGTTCGGTTCGCCAACAATATGGGCAAGCATCCTATTGTATAAAGCTGGTGGCATCATACGTACATTTTCAGCTACTTGATAGCCCTGGAAGTGATATGGGAATTATCAGGCGAAAAAATCGTCTCTATTGGGACATGGATAACATTGTCAATCAAACATCTACAACTTCATGTCAATAGACTTACAAAAAGCCCATAACTGGGAGAATCCTCTTATCATAATATCAGCTCGGCCAAGTTGCGTCCCAGTAATCCTATTATACTGTTTAAATCCGACTTATGGAATAGCATGATCTGATAAGAAAAGCAAACTCAACTACGACTATTCGCCTATAATTTCTAGACTCACATTGTCTACTGGTATTCTTGGTTCATGATCACTTACTAATAAATTACTTTCCCCTTCATTCGCTCTGCTTTTTCTTCAAATGGGAAGCTTTTTCACCTTTTCGTAGCTCAATACTTTCAGTTATGAGACTTGGAATTGCCATATTTTCCCTCTTAGCTACTACCAACGCATGGTATTACGGTAGACCGGACCCAGGATCATCAACACAGTAAGTTTTCTTCTGAGAAAAAGAAAATTCCTTCAACCTTATTAGCCTGCTCTAGTTGGCCAGAGAATGTTTAAAGAATTGAGTTGGTTAAAAAAGCAGAATTGAAAAATTTAACCCGTTGTCATTCCTTCCAGGCTCACCTAACCTCTCCAGTAAGTATCGGCTCTAGCCGTGGGAGCCTTTATAGAGTCGGGAGGGTCCGATTTGTTCACGATGGCAGTCTGTGAAAAATTCTTTTCTAATAATCAGAGCCCTGAAAGCAAGAGTGGGAACCGTACAACGAATTAATCGTTTCAGAGGAGGAGTATGGCCGCTTCCCTGGACAATCTCCTACGACACTTATAACCATACAATCAATCCCGGCCAATTCCATTTTGTTTCCAAGGTAATTTCTTGACAGGGAGTCTGTGCAATGCATTTCAGAAAATTATTTCAAGGTTGGAACTTGCGAGATAATTGATAAAGCTACAGCACGATACCAAAACCTTTCTTTTCCACTGTTTGATCCGGTATGTTACTTTATATAATATCGCTCAGGATTTTTCAGCTTGAGAACAATTTGAAGTGTTATGATCTTTCAATAAAGCTATAGACTTGACTTATCTGAGCATATATCCGGAAGCATCAAGGAGCCTTCAAATCTGAAAATTCCAGTCGTCATACACCGATACGGCGGCAACGCTAACGACCCTCACAATTGCTGTAGCTGAAGGATGCACATCGGACTATCCGCAACTGGGCATGGATGAGAGCTGTAAGCCTATCTGATTATTCAGATATATTTTAGGATTGTTCTGAGGCATACCACTGGTTTTTGAAGAAGAGAATATGGTGAGCCTGGGGCAAACAGCTGGAAGCTGCGAGTCTCCTCCGCCCCCTCCTCTTCCCTTCCCCTCACCCAGCTCTCGACTCATTTCCAAATCTACGGAGGAGCTTAAGTAGGTTGCCCTAAGATATGACGGATTGTGATAGAAGGCGAAAATATCGGGAGCATGAGCCTAAGAGCGAGGGTAGAAGTGTTGCAGTGCCAAGTGGAACTTTATCACCTGTATGGTTTGAGGGCCTACTCCCGATTTGGCACCCGCCTATGCCAACTACTCTTTCCATTTCTTCAAGATTGATCCACAGTAGGTAACAACCTCGTTCTAAAGAATGAAAACACCGAAATGTACGTCAGAAAGCTCGGAGAAGATGGCAGTTATACGCTTTTTTTCAGATAACCTCGTGGTTGACAAGTCCAAAGGAATTGCAACATTGACAGCTAATCAAGTATGGGGAGCTCTGAGAGGCTTGGAGACGTTCAGTCAACTGATCTATCAACCAGTGAAAAATAGGGTAAGTCGTACGTTTCATCAGTAGTAGTGCAACTCACATTTTGATTTCAGTACCGTATTCGAACAGTGTCAATCTCGGATTCACCACGTTTCCCTCATCGAGGAGTGATGATCGATTCGTCGCGGCACTTTCTCCCTGTTGGAATCATTCTAGAGAATCTTGTGAGAATGGCTTAAAATTTCTAAATTTCACCATGTTGGAATCGTCTGCAAAAAAACAAACTGGGGATCATTATGCACTATTCGTTCTATACAAGGGATGCCTGTCCACTGCGATATGAGGTCATGATCGGCATCCTTCTTTTACAAGTCCTCTGAAAAACTCTCTCAGAAAAACCCAATACATTCCTGCGAAATGTTCAATTTTCGGGAGAGTACTGTGAGCAATGATGGTCTCTTAGTAGCCCCTGCCTTTCAAAGAATCCTTCTTTGGTGGTCTCTTCCTGCCAAGGATTGCAAACGCTTACCCTCGCAGGATCGAACCTTGCCGTTAAATTCCATTGAGGTCGGAGAATACAGGGACGAGAGGCTTACATCGTTGCGAGTATCGCCCTACCTTAGTACATGCCTCGCCTTGGATTTCGTTCAAAACCCTTCTTGGGGCTCGAATTCGTGTGGATGGGTAATCCTGCCATGGAAGGGAAAGGATAAGTGGTGGTTCAGTGTACCCAGAATGGTCTCTTCGTGGTGCAATCTCTTCACCCAAACTGCCAATCTCTTTTAATTCCTTTGATCAAACAGTCCAAAAAAATCTTCATTCTTTATTACCTACTACTAATACTGTTTATATCACAATTACTGCTTACTATTCAATCTGATACCTGCTGCAGGATCTCATGGCCCAGAACAAGATGAACGTCCTACACTGGCATTTGGTAGACAGCGAATCATTCCCATACACTTCAATGAAATTCCCCAATATGTCTCAGTTGGTAAGACCGGAACTTTAAGGTCATAGCGGAACTTATTTTTAAGCTAAATCACAATATTTCAGGGAGCTTATTCACAATATCACATCTATTCCATTGGTGATATTAGAAAAGTTATGGACTATGCTCGTCTTAGAGGAATTCGTGTCGTTCCAGAATTCGATACGCCAGGTATTTCATAAACTGTCGATTCTTTGCTGTTGGTCAATAGCCCGGGAAATCAACTTTGGGAATGAGATCTTTTGGAGTACTTAAACCCACGATGGGACCTCAATTCTTTCGAGCTAAAGGCTCCTACGTTTGTAAGAGGTGCTGTCATAGTGCCAAAAAACACAAAATCACGCGCATGATCGGAAATCGAGCCCCAGATTTATGTTGCCCTGGCCAAACAGGCTTACCATATCCGTCAGGGAGGAGGAGGTTGCACTCAGTCCAGATATCGCGAGTCACCATTGTATAGGCCCTGTTCAAAATGCTTCAACGATTCTGATTAAAAGTCGTGTACAGGGCTCATCTCGAAAAAGGATTGACCGAGAACCTTCGAAAGATCGATTTTGTATAGACTTTGCCAGGTTTGGTTTGAATCACCACTACCTATTTCATTTTCAGGGCACACTGGTGCATGGGGAAAGGCTTTCCCGAATTTGCTTCCACTCTGTTACAATTCGAAAGGATTCATAAGCGAATTGTCCAACATTTTGGATCCTACCCAGGAAGCAACATTCACATTCCTTTCGGATTTCTTCACGGTAAGCTCCTACTTTGACATTAGGAGGCTCATGCCATGGCGGAACGAGAAATTTTCTCGTTCCGCCATGGCATGAGCCTGCCGTAGTACGACGGTGCCCACTTCCTGACGACCTGATCCCCAAGTTTCTTAGTTAAAGACTTCCTTGTGAGGCGGTTACAGCAAAATCTCGAAGACTTTGAGCTCCTCAGAGATTTTCCTTTACAGGATACCAACTACTTTCGTGTTACAGCAGTTTTTTTGATTACTGTCAAAATTGGTGTTTCGGAATCGTTCCCGTAACCTCTCTATTTACTGGCTCTTTTCAGGAAGCGTTGGCACTCTTCAGGGATAACTATATGCACTTCGGTGGTGATGAAGTCTCGTCCGATATGCAACAGTGCTGGTAAATTATCTTTTCTTTTTGGATATGAAAGGGCTCGTGCGCTACCCGTAGAAAAGTTGTAATATATTGTGCCTGGGATGTGCCCCATGCATTCAGCTTCATTCGAAATCTCGGTATTGTTAAAATGGGAATTTAGCCTATAAAGTGGTTCGGGTTCTGTCGGTTCCTGCGAGGGCTGTCGCTTTTAT